AGAAATTTTATTAATATTGCCCAATAAAATTATAACGTTGACGCATTTAAAAAGAAAAGTTCATATAAACTCTTGTACTTGTACGTGCCCTTACTCTTCTGCTGCGGGCACGCAAAATTTATATTCAACCAATTTGGAATATACCGTAGATATACATTCATGTATATTACCGGAATATTTGTTTTCAACATACTAGGTATATTCACCTGCACATATACACAATATGTGCATACCTGGCATGTTCATCTGCACATATACCCAATATGTACATATATGTACATAGCTAGGATGTTCGTGGAATATACATGCATGTATATTCCACTAACATTCGTGTTAGGAATGTTCACCTATGTATATTTCCAGGATATTCCCGCAATGTTCTGTATATTTTTTGAACATTCTGGGATATTCATAGAATATCAAATGCTATCTGGGCGTTCAAGCTCGAGACTGATTTAGGGCTCTCACAGATGCACCGATGCTCCCAGTGCCACCATCTCTCGCCTTTTCCACGTTACGAAGACCTGAATATTTTGCTGGAAACGCGTAGAGGCCGATGTGGGGAATGGGCTAATGTGTTCACACTGTTCTGCTATTGCATGGGTTGGGACGCCCGCATAGTCTTTGACGAAACTGATCACGTTTGGACTGAGGCAACGACTTGGCATTGTAAACCAGTTTTCAAATGTTTCATTGTCGCGGCTTTTAGGTTTATTCCATTGGGCAAAAACGATGGCTGCACTGTGATGCCTGCGAGAATATTTGTGACCAACCTGAGATTTATGAGTGCGGCTGGAACAAGAAGGTGTCCTATGTGCTGGCCTACTCAGTGGACGAGGTACAGGATGTGACTTGGAGATACTCGTGCCAACACAAGGAGGCGATGACTCGTAGGAAGTATTGCTCAGAGGAGGCGCTCATTCAAGTGCTGATGGACTTGAGTAGACGGCGACAAGAGTGCCGCAGCGCGCACCGTCGACGCTATCTGATCAAGAGACTGGCGCTAGAATTGGCCGATATGCTCACTGAAAGGTGAGCTTTACCCTTTGAACTGCAAGTTCCTCAAATCCTAGCAAGAATCATTGCAGGAAGCCTGGAGATTCACAAGGGCAGGGGCGCCAGTCCGGCGGCATCGCTTGGCGCTTAGCCCGCGGCGAGATAGAGGGGAACTTTTCTTGGAACATTGATCCGATTGTATTTAAGAACAATGTGGCTGTTTTGAAATACTGCGCTGCAGAGGATGAGTACCGATTGTTCAATGGGCCAACGCTGGAGCGCACGGTAAAGGTTTGGGCGAAGGGCTGTTACCACATTGAGCACGTGTTTAGAAAAGAAGAGAAGGACTGGAAAATGGTCTATCTAGCTCGAACCGGTTAGTGCGAAAGAACCCTGACCAGAGTTGGTTGCATTGATGAAACTGTTTTCGTTCACAGAGAATGCCCCAAATGGACGCGTCTCCTGGTTGTTCACTTTTCCGCCAAAGTCGCCGAAGCAATTAGCCACAGTAACTGTTTTAATAAACGGCGCCCTCTACGAAACTGGCAACATCCAAGTCCTGCTGAGTTCTGACGACTTGACTGAAAACATCCCCATTGGTAAGCAACTGCATTTTACAGCGTCCTGCGACAGCAATTCTGTATTTGCCAGGGGCCAAGGGCCACTTAACTGAGCGATTTCGTGGGAGAAACGAGCTGAAGCTCGAGGCGACTCTTTCCGGAGGTAAAGGCGACGCGGCCTGGCAGCATGCTCAGCTATTCAGACAAGCGCTGAGTTCCTGCGAAAGTCCTTTCATCATTACTTTCACTTTTTATTGAGCAGCAAGGAGTTTTGGTATAGTATTTTACTGTGTATATATACGTAACTGTATAAAGGTTTATGGAACTTTTAACTTGCGTTTTCATTCACAGAATGTCCAATTTATTCCCACCCTTTATGTGCTGTATAGTTGGGGAGTTGCATACAGTTTCGGTTCTTCCAACCCACTGAATTCCTTCCATTACTAATCGCAATTATTGAGCAAGTTCACATTTTTTCGGCCGTTCAAATGTAACAAAATAGAGTGTTTAAAGAGAATTCGCTCCGTTTCAGGCGACTGGGATTTGAAACTTCTGAATACGTTTTTAGACGGCTTCATATTTCGACTTTCCACACGCTTATAAAGCGTATTCGTGCCTTCGTGTACGAACAGGGGTGTGCCATAATTCAATCTTCAGCTAGGACTATCGCAACCTTGTTTAACATTCTGGGACCTACGCCTATGGTGGCAATTTACTCATCGTGCAATGTTTCCGTACGCTTTGCTCGACGGATCTCATTACAACAATTTCTTTGAGCGTAAAGTAGGTTACGAGAAAGTAGACTTTTTCAGATAAACGCCTGCCGTTGTGGATTCAGTCATTGTCGGTTAAATCGCGTCGCGAGTTGGTGTCCGCACGTCAGTTTCGACTCAATCCAAGTAAGTACATGCGACGCTATTAGCAATTGAAAAGAATTATGAAGAAAGCGTTTTTGATCCCACAAAATGATTCCATTTAACTTCGAACAACGTGGGTACCGATGCCAAGTTTGTCCTACATTTCCCTTTTCAAAATCGAAATATGCATTGGACATTTTTATCACTGAATTGCCACAAATTGCGGGTAAAAGCGCGACATTAGCAACAATTAATGATGCGTCGAAGAAGCAATTGTCACTGTTTTGTATGTTTGTTAATGGTTGAAATTTTAGCACTTTATGAGCATTTGTTTTGGGCGATAAATCAACGGACCATTGCAGAATGCAGAACGCGTTGAAGAGAAAAAGTAAAATCTGAAAACTAGATCATCCAGGCAAGCAAAATTAATTTAATTTTTATGTTAAAAAAATGCTTGCTCTGGTCGATTTTACTAGATTTAAGCCCGTGTCCTATGCTTCCGTTTGTACGATGATACGATGGTACGAAAGTGTTTCTATTGGTTGGAG